GAAAAATGAAAGAAAAATAATATATATGTGTAATGGCATTTTTGTCATTTTTGAGTTATTGGGTTAGAGGTGTACAATGGCCTAATAGGTAGATTTGGGTAAGCTATCAAGTTTTGAATGGCTTTGGGTATTGCTAACAGCTTCTTGGTAGTTATATTATGAATTACTCAGTGGTTTTAATGAAGCTCCACTGACTCCAATGAAGGACTAGAAACTACCTATTTTTTATAGTTCTTCTAGCCATACGAAATTCCATTTTTGGGGGGATAATTGAGTGCAGTAAAAAAAAAAAAGATTTGCATAGGATTTTGGTAAATTCCCCAAGGTTTGCACAGGATTTTGGGAGATTCCCTAAGCAAAAAGCAATTTGTTCAATAGTTCCCAATACAATGTAACTTGTGCAGCCATCTTTGCATTAAATACAGTTGTAAGTTGCTAATCGAGACTAAAACAGCATCTTTGGTTGGTTTTGAATGAGATTCCAAGCTTCTAGTTAGCATCAAACAGTACAGTTTTGGGGATCAAGCCCATTTCCACGTCTTCGCCACCCAGCCTTTTCTAACAAAGTTAGGCAACATTGCCAACGCCAAGCTTCGCTGGTGTGAGTGCTTCACTGGTGTGAGTACCTCACTTCACCAAACAGGCAATGTTCATCCATCTATGTCTGCCAAGCCACTACTCCCAAAGTTTATCCCAAATAATTCCATGAGTTTGGATTCATGGGTTTATTGATGACCTGCATAAAGAAATAATGATTAGTCGATGAAAATGATGAAATTAAATAAATAGGAAAATAATAAAGGAACGAGACTTCCTTATGTATTTTTGGTGATGCAGCCATGTACTACAGCATTAGATACCGTTGGGCCTATCCATGTATTATAGCATCAGATATTGCTGGGCCTTTTGGTAATGCATGTTGAAGGCATTTCTCACGCCCCAACCCAAAGGTTTAGGCATAACAAACACCACACATCTATAGATTAACTCTATAAATGTGTAAGGCCATTTTTCCTTAGCTATTAATACAATCTCCTTTGCAATTTTAAAATAAATAATTCCATTAATAGATCTTAATAGTCTCCAAATAACAATATCAAATCCCTTAACCAAAATATAAATGTTTAACATCTTATTCCATAAACCAAATAAACTTTCAATTGAGCTATTGCTAAATTCTGCAAATTTATTCTAATGATCTCTCAATCCCCATGCAAATCCCAATGCTCATACCTCTTCACCTGAAATGAAATGAAATTTGAAAACGTGAGTTTAAGAACTCCGTAAGTAACATACTCATCCATCACAACCAAGCATAAAAATTTAAAATTGAGTTTTTACTGAAAATGAAACAATAAAAGAAATACAATTCTTTCCTTTGAAACCAGAATATTTCATTATTCGTCCCTTATGGCTATGCAACAATCCATAATCCACGATCAATGATACTCAATTATCAATCCACAATCCACGATCCACAATCTACAATCCATAGATCCCGGGTCTATCACAATACCAACAACTCAATCCTCACATGGGTGAATCATCTAGCCATGACAAATAAAAGAAACCATTCCAAAAATAACAATTTCAATAATATTGGAGAAAAGCAAATTTAAATTAGCCACCTCCACATGACCACAATCTCATCTCAAATTTAAATAAAAAATATTATACTTGATCCACAAATCATCTCATTCCATCATTAAAAATATTTAGTAAAAATCATTCTCTAAGAAATAGATGAATAAATAATCAAATAGATAAATAAATCAAATATAGGCAAAACCCATTTAAATATATTGATTTATTTTAAAAACACTGGAGGATATAGCTAGTTACTTTAATAATTATCTTTCAATTGCAATTCCACACAACTATTCGGAGCCTTCAATTAGTCTAATATGACCAGTCCCTAGAGTCCCCCTCGCTAGCCAGAGAAAGAAATCGATCTTGTTTCCTGAAAAGAAAGAAAGAACAAAAAAAAAAAAAATGAAACTGCCGACTGGACTGCCGACCCAATTTGATTTGGGGGTTTTCACAAAAACGGAATATTACCACTTAGTCCCTAATTTAACTATAAGATAGTCCCTGAGTTCCTCATCTCATTATAATTTTAACCCCAAATTTAATTCTATCACACATACATCCACTAAGGGCTTAAATAATTTATTTAAATTTTAAAATAATAATAATAATAATTCCCTAGTATTACAGCATCAATAAGCACTTAGATAAAAGTGGGTCTTGGTGATGTGAAAACTACCTAAATCTAAATTTGACCTTTTACAAAAACATCCATCAACAGATGTCAAGCAAAAAAAATGGATTCTGCTCAACATATTTGGATCACTATTTGTCCCAAAAAGTTATTCGAACCAAGAATATACCCTCTCTTTTTTTTTTTTTCATCCTTTTTAAAAAAATTAAATATCCTTTCAATCATCTATGTTTATTTAAGGTTTTTTTATTAGATAGGTATACGGACCATTATTGGTCTAAATGTATTTACCGCTTTTTTTTTTGTGTCAAAATTTTTGAATTTTTGATGGTATTCAGACCAATAGCGATCTGAAATAATAACTTGCCAAGAATTTTTTCAACTTTTGAAAGTTTTATTATAGCCAGTAGAATTAAATTATATATATTCCAGACCGATTACGATATGAAATAAGTTCGCCTATATATTTCCAAGCCTGCTTCCTTTTCCACATAAATTTTCTTCTTTGCCTTTTCTATGCTATCCTTCTTCTCTTCCCTAATTCCTTTATGGTTCCCCTCTATTCTTTCTCTCATACTCTTATTTTCTCTTCTTGCCCTTATCTTTGTGTTGCCCTTCTCTTCCTTTCCCTTTGTCCCCTTTTTCCTATCATTTTTCTCAGCTCCTCCTCTTTCTTCTTGTTTTGTTGCCTTCCCTTTCCCTCTTATTTCTTCCATCTTTCTTTATTCTTCTTAACTATATTTTCTATATCTATGTTTTTAAATTTATATTTT